ATTTATTTGTTGAACAAGCAATAATGATGAATTCTTTAAATGATAGCTTTATCCAGCATTTAGTTGCATCTTGAAAGATATGTCCAGTTTAAGGGCACCTAATGCCACTGTTTTTGTCTGTTTAATATGAAAACTCTGTGATATATATTTTTGTTATTTTATAAAACTGATAAACACATTTTTCATATTGGTTAAGGGAACAAAATATATTCATTTCATGGTCCCTTGTTATAAGCTCTGGCATGTACAAGCAAGTAAATAAGTTCATTCAAATTATGAGTTGTTGCCGAGTATTAGACTTTTTTTTTTGCAGATCTAAGATCATTCTTTTTCCCTTGTTTTGAGGCAGAATTTCTTCATGTATTATTTTATTCTGTGGTATCATATATACTTCTTATGGATCCTTTACAATTATACCCAGGTGACTTTGAAGGCTCTTGTGCCTGTTGTTTCTCCTGTCTGCATGGTCAGGAATTCAGAGGAGTGTGCTATAAGTTCAAGATGTTCAAGATTCAGGATGTTCAACATAAATAACTACATTTAGTTACCTTCATTTATACATATTTCCTCTCAATGTAGAATTTTACTTGCAGTCTGTGAAGTAATAAAAAAAACATTTGGCCAAAATTTGAGAATTTAGTGGCAAGTGTCAAATAAGACAATTATAAGTGCATGTCAGAGTGTGTTGGTAAAACACTTTTCACTACATGTATATGACTTTTGTATTGTTTTATGTACTTTTGATCTTGAATAACTGTACGATATCTCCATATTGTTTCATTTAGAAATTTCCATTTTTGATAAATTTGTATTGTCCTGCCTATATTGAATTTATAATTTTTCATGGAAAGGGTTATTTTGATGCAGGATAGGAGAATGATGTCAGTCACTAGCTGTTTATACCTCTTTGTTGTGTACTGTGAGTGATTGATTTTAGGGTACAGCAGGTATTGATAAAACCTCATGTAATAATTACAAGGGAAATGTCAAGCGGAAAGGTTAAAGTTAGGAGACTCAATGGAATAAAGTAATGCATTTATTTCAGTTATGGACAGTCCATTATGAAATTAATTTCTTTGACGCAAATAAAGTCGGACAGTCTGGTTTGTCATTCAACTCACAGAATATGAAAATTTTCATTATAAATTAGTTAAACTTTCTGATTTCATGAACTACCTTTATTAGTCAGATTTAGGACACTTCCGTCATGTCTTCTATGTTACCTTGAATATGCATGAAAGAATCTTTATTTCTTATTTTCTTTATTTATTATGTAACTTCCTTAGGGAAGTTTGTGCATGCATGGAAAAAAGACTACTTAAGAAATCGGACTTCAAACTGTAAATAAATTTCTGGATATTATAGAAATTTGATACAATATGGAGCAAATCGGCTCCTCTGCATTCCTGCATGACCATGCATAGGCATGGCAAGAGCATTTTCAAGTGATGAAATCATTTCAGCATAAATAAAATAATTTAAAGAACATCTTTATGCAAGTGCAAGTTTGCAGTAATTAAGTAATGACTCAATTCGAAAGAGAAAAAAAGGCAAATTACATAAAGCCGTTTTGAGAAAAAACAAAAAACAGATGTGTTATGTCTTTGAGGAATGACAATATTTGAATTTTTTATTAATAATATCTGGTGTGGCTATCTAACTCCCAGCTGTTTGGTTACCTTTGATGACCATTTATGTAATTACTTGACATCAGAATCACCCTGTAAAGTACCTTCGCTGATATTACAGAATGAAAAAAAACAATGCAGGTAGGGAATTTGCATTCATTGAATTGCACTGCATTTCACTTTCGGGGAAAATGGTATTGATTTCATGCAAAACAGTAGGTGTAATTACTTCCATCTTAGACGAGAGGTGAATTTTAAATTCTTCGCGTCGGGACCCCAAGCAACGGTGAAGTTGATGACGAAACAATATTGCACACCGGACCAGGTGCCAGCTGTTTTTAATTTATTTTAATTGTTTAAAATTTGATTTATTAGAAAAAGGTTTCACTGGCAAAAGCAATTTAATTAACAAGAGCAATCTTACAGGTTTACAAAAAATGAGTCTTTCAACGCGGCATACTGGCGGCCTTGATCTTGCTTACTTCCCCTTTTAACTGGTATGATAGGTGAAAGGTCAATTTTGGGACGTTCCTTTTTCTGTCACATCATACAGTTGTTATGATATCAAAGTGAATTATTACTTTTTGATGACACGTACTGGTCAAATATATTGAAAAGAAATTTTAATTTTGTTCAACTTTTCATAGAATGCAGAAGTTGGAATCAAATTTTCAGTCCATTCTTTGTTGAATGCCAGTTTATAATGCTAAAAACTTGGGACTGTCAATTGCCCAACTGACTGATGTGCAATCTCTTGGTATACAGTGCATTTCAAAACTGGACACTGTGAGATGTGGAGAATTGAATGGTCCTGGATGAGACCGTATAAAGCGAGGTCCCGTGTCACAGTTGGTGCTGGCACAAAAAAGATCCCTTTGCTCAATGGCCCTGAGTGCCAAGTAAAGGACAATTTTTATAGGCATTTTTTTTGTCAGGTGGCATCTCCATATGAGTGAAAAATTCTTGAGAGGGACGTTAAACAACATACAATCAGTCAATCAAAACTGGACTATAATGTCCAAATTTTTATATATCTCAATGTCAGGCTTTGCATTTTATCAGATCTTTTTGTTTTTCAGTCTGAAACATAATATTTGGTTTGCATGGTCTGGTGTTTGTTCCTCAAGTACATAGGACTATAAATGTCCCATATGAATCGAAGATCTTTTGTATGGACTGGATTACATATGAATAAATTAGTTTTTAAATGTTATTTTGTCTTAAATTGTTTATGGTGAATATATTTAAATTTCAATAAGTACTGTATTTCAATGTGCCGGAATTAAAATTTCAATAAGTAAAAATATTTCAGTTGGGCATAAAATTAACTTGATTTTAGTTATATAAGATTTCAAAATTCAAATCCTGATCATGTTTTTCAAAAGTACAAAAAATATATTATTTGTGATCAGTATAATTCAAGTGTATATATTAATTACTTCAAGATTTGACAGCTATATACATGTAGTACTAAATTTAATACTTTTTTTGAAGATTTATATTCGTTAGTGACTATGATATTATAGCTTATAGCTGATGCTGATTGATGTTTGACAGTCACCTTAATTGGTTCTATGAAGTGATCTAAAGACATTTAAATTTAAGAAAAAAAAATTAATTAATCAATTTTTTACCTCAGTATACAGAGATCATTTAGTTCAATTTACATCTGGACTATTAAGCAAAAAAAAAAAAGTACATAGTATACATTATAAAATCATGAAAAAAAAGGAAACTTGTGAATTAAATTTGAAATATAATGCCATTAAGATTTGTTTGGAAAAGATATATAAATTCTTTCCAATAATTCTTTGGATGACTTTCATTTTCACTTTTACTTCAAATATCTAAAAATACAGTGTCTAACATAGATATGGGGAAATTTTTTGACGTGAATTTTATGAAGTTTTCCTCCTAGTAAATTATCTATAGGTCATAGAGCTGACTGCATGCATACAAGAAATTTTTCCTTGGAAGTTAATGTAAATTAGGATGCAGTTTGATTGAAGAAGAAATACATGAATGAAGAAACACAATAAATCATGGAATTAATTGCATTTTTATCTGATAAAATAAGTGCATAAAATTATTATGAAACATCCACTAAATTAAATATGTTCATGCATGCAAAGAAAAGATCTGCAAAATGTAAACATTTTGATTATTTACTTATTATGAAGGAATGTGCAAGCAAAACTGTAATTCATCTAACAGCAGGAGATGAAATTTAATTTTTTTTTTTCCCCCCGAGTTCCATCAAGTCCGTCAGCTAACAATTAGGTCTAACTGTAGAGATATCTCTGGGATAAAAATGGATTTACATGCAGTTATATGTTGTTTTAGAGAGTAAATGAATGAATTAATTGATTTCATACTTTCTTTTGAATGTTGTTTGTTTAATTAAGATAATTTATAAAATATACATATTTCTCGGTCAATGAAAGTAGAGTAATGTATGCTTTGCCCTTATTTCGTTCTTTTGTTCACTATAAAGTACAGATCATCACTTTGTCTGTCTGTCTGACGAGCTTGCAGTGAGCATTAACAGAATGTAAAAATCAGGTATCATTTGTTTTATGGTACATGTATGCAGTAGTCTGTTAATATATGTCAGAGTATGCATTTTTGATATATTACAAATAAAAATATGTGTTAAGTGCAGAGTCAGTTAACATTAGTTATAAATTTGCAGTTTTGATAATTTAATTATTACATGAAAAGATTTTCTCTCAGATTAGCATGTACTAAATAATATTAATAAAGGTGAGACTTTTTAAGGCAATATTCTAATGCATGTATATTAAAATATTTGCATTTTAAACATAGTATATGTATATACAGCTGTTGTTTTGTTATATAACCAGCTTGTATATGTACATGACATATTCACAGATACATATGTAAAGTACCAAGGACAAACCATTTTTTGTTATGAAATTTTAAATTGGTACAAATTTACAGCTGGCACTGTGGTTAATATTGGAAATAGGTCACAAAATGAAACAGACACAATTTGTTTGTTTTAACTGGTTAGTATTTCATAAACCAATGAATTTTCAGTTATCAACATGCCTTCATTTGGTAAATTAATGTCAAAAATTCAGATCAAAAGTGTTTGAGACAAAGCAACAATTTTTTTAATTACCTAAGAGATAAGAATTATAGGTTTCTTAATGATCTCTGATTTCCTAAGACATCAGTTTTTAAAATTTATGCTTTTTTTCCCCCTCTCTTTGTTAATGGCCCACACTTGGTTAACTGATATTAGTATTCATGTATTGTTGACAATCGAGCAACTGTTTTAGATTTAAAAAGCAGATCGGCATATTTTCTAACGCTGTATATATCATACGTGTGTCTCTCTCTTTGTAGAACATGAAGCCCTATATAAGTGCAAGGCTCAATCAGTTATGGATCAGAGAGCATGAGTCTCAGCACCATCAAGTGACATTGGATTGACTATATACAGTACTATATGGAAATCACCTTTTGTATGTATTAAAGGGAACATCTAATGAAGAATGAGGATGGAATCGGTGAACGTTTTGGCCTTCTCCTTGTTACTTTCAGGAGGGCTTCTTTTAGCCAATGAGTGTCCCAGAGGAGGTAAGACTGTCATATATTAAATTTTAGATGAAAAAAAATTAATTATTGTCATATATTTATACATATTTATTTAACACACGGTTTATGATTTTTTAAAGAGGGTACTAGTTAAATGTGGTGAAGTTTCTATCACATTATTTAAGGCATTGATATCAAGAAGTACGAAAAAGAAATTTCACACATACAATTAAAATTGCTGTATTAATTCTTAAGAAAAATTGACTTTTTTTCACATTAACTATGTATATGGTTAATATGACACAAAACTCATCTTTATAAGGCAATTTAAGGAAATTTGATCTGTTAGTAATGACCAAGTTATGCATAAAAATATGTGATTGACATTTAAAAAAAATCTTTTAAAAGGATTTTAAATTCTGTACCCCTTTCAAGATTTCAAAGAGAGAGAGAGGAGAGAGAGAGAGTAATAATGTAAATATATATAATTGATTGAAATTGCTATGGTCTTGAGAAATTTACCGTAGTTTATGCTTATTTTAAACAACATTTTATAAACCTAATACTATCAATATATCTACATATTTTAAATAGCTGAACATAATTTAAATGTACAATTTTACAAACCAGTGAATTCCTTAGTTTGTAATGTAAACAGGAGCATGTGCCATTCATGTAGTAGCATTAATTGTTACAATTGTGTTAGAGTGCATTTAAAAAAAAAACAATTGTTTTGCTCAGTTAAGTGTTAAATATTTATCTGTTTTTAATTTCATTTCTAACTTTGAATTTTACAGACGTGTATTTTTTGTGTAAATTTGTTTTTTAGGTTTTTACTAGATTTTGAACTCCCTATCCAGAACAATCAAATTTTAAAGTCGTTTGAAATTTATCGATAATTTAAAAAAAAAAAATTACTGGTAATCAAATCTTCAAATTCACTTCATATTTCATTACAGTTTTTGACATTGAATATAATCAATCATATTTGTTTAGATCTTGACATTTTTTTGTGTAATCCTTAATTCAAATTTCTTGTTGACTTTTTTATATGTCAGAAAGTTTTAGGGTTAAATAAATAAGTTAATCAAATGCACCAAGTAGGCTAAATGAATTAAACACACACTTTTATCTGGAAAAATGCCTTTAATTATAATTATACTTATACATATTTACAAAGAAATTAATCTATTCTGAGAAATACTAGAATTACAATTTCACAATCTCACTTTGAAACAAATATGCTACGTACTGTATACAAAAACTTGTCATTAAAAGGTATAGACTGTCGCAATGTTTGTACTTTCGTATTAAGTGCACACTTTGTTGTGTGTTTTTTTTTTTTACGTATGCTAATTTCTTAAAGATCATGAGGTTGACATTTAAAATTCTATTGTACTTCAAATGATAGACAGTATCAAATTGTATCATTGATCTATTTTTCTTGCTGTCTTTTGTCTAATCGTAAAACTTGGACATTTGGAAACAAGATTTTACTAAAGATTTCCTGATATAGAGATTTCCTCTTATAAACTAGTTTCAGCTTCTGGGGAAAAAAGTTACATTTGTTGACTGCAGGAATTTAACATTTATTCAATTCAAGGTGTGATTGGTCAATTGAATCTAAAAAAAAAAAAAGCGGAAAAGGATGGAAACACAGTCACGTAAATCATGCCAAGCAGCTGTTGCATGTTTTATGATCGGAATTAAGACACTAACTTAGATATTTTAAAACAATGCAGATTGAGCTCTTTTCACTTTTTCATTGTACATGTATACGTTAATGATATAATGCGCTATGTTAAGAACAATGCAAGGCTGCATAAAGCATATTACTGAAATTAACCATTTAGATCATCATATTGCTGAAAGATTTTTTTTATAGATGTTACCTTGCATAAATTAAGTTAGAGGTATGAAATTAAGAAAAGAAAAAGTTAGAGACTATGTCTTTATTACAGTTCTGGTAGGCTGAATAACGACTTATTATTACCAATATAGAGCTGTCAGTTTTATGTCTGTTGTAGCCATACTTTTCTTTTTTATGGAGATCCAGTTGTCTCCAAGAGACCTAAAAAATATTGCCATTGGATTGAAATTGTCACAAAACTGCAGTGCTGCAAATTTGAAAATTGCATACCTTACGTTGTAGATTAATTACAAAATCAATTCTCTGTTGCTATTTTTGAACCAACTGCATCCCACTCCTGCAATTTGGGCATTATTAGAGTTATCTGAAAATTAGATACCTGAAGCCCATTCACGTAGAACTAAATCCCGGGTCTCTTTGACCTATTAAGTTAGAGTGTGAGGTATTTTTGTATTTTGCACTATTGAGGTATATATAAACCTTGACATCTTCATTAACAATGATGAAGAATATGGCCTGATTGCACTGTATGGAACAATTACTTATTTTTAAAGTAGCAGCATATTTTACTGACAGCGCTATCAGTTAGAATGGAGTTTCATTGGTGAAAAGTGCTATTTTTAGGGGCATTTCCTGTCATTTATGCAACCAAGACATTAAAAAAAAACTGTATGACTAAAAAATTCTTTGCAACTATTTGTTGAAGAAGAGATGTATTCATTATTTTTAGTATTTAAATTGTGGAGCTATCAAGCATGTTAAAAGGAAATTTCAAAGTTGTCTTAATATTTCATTAATTTGCATAATACTACTAGCTTCATTAAATTTTTACTGATTTTAATTTAAGTTCTTAGTCATTCAATAAATATCAATAGTTTGTATACATATGAAATTTACTTAAGTTTATCAGCATTTACTGACTATTATTTTTTATCATGACTCAACCAAAGTTACACGTAGCATGGGAAGATCTAGCTTAAATTAAGAGGGTTGGGGGGATTTTAATTATTCACATTATTCTTAGCATCTTAAACTTTATTGCATTATGAGAGAAAGAAAACTGGGAGATACATGTATAATATCTGAAGATTAGAGATATTGAGGTTAAATTATACATAAAAATGGTTTTGGACTTCGAATTCCCCACTTTATACATTAATGAATTATCTCTACATCAAATGCAAGTCAAATTCTAATTCAACAGCTGAAAAATAATAGTATTGGGGGGAAGTCTTGTCACAAGGAAAACACCTGTGAAATAAAAGAAGCACTAATAAGCATCAGTCATTCAAAAGTTATTTTTAAGAGTAAAGTTTTTCAAAAGTAGGTCAACCTCTTAGGTGAGGATCAAAGAGGCAAAATAAATATTCTTCAAAGAAAGGCCTTGTCACAAGGAATATACATGTGAAATATGTAAGCCTTAATTAGCATCAGTTGTTCAAAAGGTTGCAAAAGGTACCGGTTAAGATTTTAAAAATTTGGGTCAAACTCTAAGGTCAAAGGGTCAAATTGTTGGTACTCAGGGTAAGCTCTTGTCAAGAAGAATTATAAAAACTAGAGCACTGTAAAAACCTTAGCTCTAACCATTCAAAAGTCATGGCCAAAGTAATTTTTTGTTTGTTTGCAAAAATGGGTCTGAAAGATCAAGTTTAAACTTTAAAGACCAAAATTATCAGTACAGAATAAATAACCTTCTCATTAGAAATGTACCTGTGAAATATACAATCCCTAGCACTGGCTGTTCAAAAGTTGTTGTCAATGTTTCAATTTCTTTTTAAGTTGATAAAAATCAAAGATCAAGGTCAAAGGTCAAATGTAACCCAAAGAAAGGCCTTGTCACAAGGAATACATGAATACAATACACCTTTGAAATGTGATAGCAATAGCTTCATTCAATCAAACATTTTGACCAAGGTTAACAGCAAACAAAATTATAAACTATAAACACCTTAATCTTCAATTATGGGGACATAATGAATATAAAGATACATGTAAATATATAAAGTTAAAACTGCAGTGGTGACTTAGTCCGAGATGTCATTTGTTTTGCCTCTGAGTGTCACTGCATATTTCGATGTCATTTGTTTTGCTTTTATTAAATATACTCATAATGAATATAAAGATACATGTCAATATATAAAGTTATAACTGCAGTTTCCTCTGAGTGTCACTGCATATTTCGCTCTCCCTAGGGAAAAGTAAAGTTAGAATTAGATTATAAATCCGAATTCATTGGAAAAAAAATTCTATGAACTTATATTAAATATACAATGTAAAAGAGTTAGATAATTGGTTTACCCTTTATACGGTGTGATTCTCTTTTCAAATTGTATGAAATTGCATGCATTAATCTATAAAAGTGCACTGGGAAATTACTTATTTATGAAAACCGATAAAGAATCTGATTAGTGTGGGCAATAGTTATCTCCCTTTAATCCCAGTAATGGTTTATTCAGTGTTTCTGTGTATATGATGGTTAAACAATTCCTGGAGTTAGTGGGTCAATTATTGATAATTTAAAAAAAATGGATTATCATCCTATTTTTCCTTTGACAGAAATTTACTGCTGTAATAAATTTATATCACAGCTGTGTGTTGAAAAATAAGATACATTCTGATAAAACATTAACAATTAACTGATTAGTCTCACCGTAACCTGGTAATATTAAATGTTTGGCATCTTATTTTATCCATAATTAATGGTCACTGTACAGAGACATATTGATCTTTGAAGTTTGCGGATCATATATCTTGATCAGAACCTTTAAAAAAAGATGAATGTAAGGTAGGGGAGGATTGACTGACTGGTATTCAAAGGTGAAGACAGACCAAGTAGGCGTTAAACTTAGCACACCTATTGTCAACTACCTGGTTCACCTCCTTTTCGGTATTTCAAAATTTCTCTTTGAAAATTGGTGTAAGGTTAAAAAAAATCAATATTCTTTTCATACATTTCTTACATTCATACATTTTTTTTCCTTATGAAATATATTTTGAGAATTTTGATCTCAGACAATTAATAAAGAAAGTTTAAAGTGGGTAGGAAAAAAGTACATCATTTAAAAATACAGTTTATAATCTTATCTCAATTTCAATGGGTGCAAAAAATGAGAAATATACAAGCTAGACTTTGAGTTGTTGAGATTAAAAATTTATGAGAAAAGAGAAAAAGTGGTTGGAACTTCCAGGAACCCACTTGGACATACCCATATGGTAAACAAGACATCAATACTCAGGATATCAAAGTTCCATTATATATATACAATGTATATATACTCAGTGAATTTATTATTAAAGCAATATGAGCTGTATCTTCAAAATTTTATTTTGCTGGTAAAATGTGCGATTAAGATTAATTTGTATGTAATTTAAATCCTTATGACCAATAAGCCCAAAATAAAGTTTAAAAATGTTTCAGAAGAAATATTTCTGTACAACCGAACATACAGTTTTATATAAGAAATCTTTATTGTACGGGATGACAATAATTCAATTTTGCTTCAATCAAAGCTAATGAAAAATTTTCCATAGCGAATATATACAACAGAAGTTTATAAATGATTTGTTTTTCTGTCATTAAATTAGTTAATCACAAATTTTCAATAAAAATTTCCGATGTCAAACATCCAGCTCATATTGCTTTAAAGGATGATGGTAGAGAAAATGTACTTGGAATGATTTTTGCTGCAACAAATCTGTTATATCTGTAATATACAGTCAAACCTTACATTATCTTGAACTTAATGGGACTGAGAAAAAACTTTCAAGATATTGGTACCCAAGTAAAATACTTAAAGATTAAAGTTGTCAGAACTTCCAAATTACTTTGTCATATCCCTGGTATTAGAGATACTGCTGTTCAAGATACAGAAATATTTGATTATAGATGAATTTTAGGTTGAACTTACAAACACAAGATACAAGGCTGTGATTATATAACAAGTTAAACAATAAATTAGAAATTAAAATTGACCTAATTAAACTTTTATCTAAATCCTTTTGACCTATGTTTTGCAGAAATACAGACCTACTCCCCTATTTTCTACTTTGGGGAACCCATCAACCTGACCTGTACCCTCAAGGCCCAGAAGGGTGACAGCTCAAAAGCACTGAGTGAGGGGAGGCTCTATTTCCTGTCCTCCAAACTGGAGCAGAACAAAGATGACCGGACCCTCTATGGACAACCTTTGGGGGACCCCGGTCGAGTGGGGATCAGAATACAGGATATGGTGAACAGGACAGCCAGCAAAAAGAACAAATACATGCACTATGTCTGTCTGTATGACCAAGAATCTCAGGAACGGCCTTGTCTGGTGGACCAAATCTTTGTAGAAATTGAATGTAAGTACAGTTAAACTCAGTTATAATGAAGTCACTGGGACCTGTGATATTACTTTGCTATATCCGTAATTTGTTACATCCGTATAAGGACTTTGTGAAAATTTTATTGTTGGGGATCCAAAAAGACTTCACTATATCCATGAATTTCGCAATGTTCGTGTTTGTACTACACTAGTTTTACTGTAGATTTTTAAGTTCTCAGAAAGAAATGAGTCAATTTCATTGAAATGTAATACAGTCAAACCTGTATTTAAAAGCACTCACCTGTGGGAACCATTTGAATTAAGTGACCATCATAGTCATACAGAGCCAGAGGTGACCTTTGAATAGAGGTTCTATTCAAATTTATGTCATTTCTGTATTTTACAATACATGTACTATCTATACATCATAAAATTAGATGACTGCTGACCATGGTATGCAGGTGACTACCTGAAATTGAGTTACATTATATATAGGAAATTTCAATTGGAGGAAATAAAAAGAGTAGAAAGATCAGGTGACAGCTAGATAGTAGTGACTGCTATGACAAGTTTGACTGTATATTTGTGAAATTGTTTGGTATTTTTACATACTAGCAATTAGCTTTCAGAATGTCAGTATAATGTTTTCTTGTATTCATGCAGCTGTTAACAGACCCCCTTCCACTTCTCCTACAGATTTTTCTCTATATAGGCATTGAAAACTTTCTTTTTGTAGCAGAATAAATTGATGTCTCTTTCTTTCTCCAATGTTTACATAACTAAAATGGTTCCTTTCAGAAATCAGTTTGGAAAAACCTCCCCCTTTTGAAAAGTTTACTTGTTTTGTGTATAAAGCGCTAAGTAACACAATAATAGTGCCTCTTTCAATTTAATGACTTGCATGTTTATCATTTGAAGTCAGTGTTCAAGTTACTCGAATGTCCCACAATCTGAAATCTTCACAAGCAATTGCAAGCTAGTTTTAAGTAAACAATTTTTGTTGGTTAAAATCATTGATCTGAAAGATATTTGATATTTCATTTTAAAGATGTCAAGGGTAAAAAAAATAGAGCTTGAATTATTACAATATACCCCTTATCTTGGCCATATTTCCTGTCATCAAAACAGAGTTTAACAGAGGCAAATTATATGGGCATTTAATAAAGTAATACCTGGTATTATTGAATGCTACAGTACAAAAAGTAAAAATGCTTATTTTGATTTTCTGAAAGTTCAGGAAGCATTAAATTTTGAAAATGACTGACATACATATCATAGATTTCTGAATATATATCAATTCAATCATGCAAATTTAATAGAAAATCTCATTTTAGAACAGTACAATAAAATTGGTCAATTAGTTCCCTATGAATGAATGAATGACAATTCTTGAATCAGTTTAGATTACTATAACTTAGCTTGTGCATCAAGAATATTTATAAATCAAAACTTCAACCCTTTCAACTTTGTTGAATGCCATTACAGTTTGTACTCAGATCAGAGGTGGTAGTTAAAATAGAATAAATAAAAACAATATATATTCTACCAGGAAGGAACTAGAGGAGTTTATTTTTAAAGAAAAATAATGCAACATATCCCTCTGTAGCTGGTAAAATGTCCTTTGTATCATTATTTAAAGTGGGCCACTCTAAATGGACACAAAATATATATTAGAGATGACCTAGTTGAATTTAATTAATCAATAAAAAAATAATAAAATTATATTGTTTTAGTTGCATAAGCATGAAGAGACTATAATTGATTTTTTATTGAATTTTGCTGTTAAATTTTAGCTTCTGATGTCATTGTAATAATTTATTAAATGATATGTCATTATTTCAGTCTCTGTAAAAAATTGAAATGAAATTTATTTCTTGGTAAAGTTCTTTTTCTCAAAGTGCACCTAGTAGAGGAGACTGAATTGTCAACAGATTTTTCTGTTATTTCCCAGTCATGACATAAATAAAGAGGACATGGCAGGTGTGACCAGGCAGCAGGGGATGCTCACTTCTCTATGGCACCTGAGCCTACTTCTGACGTTTTAGAGGTCCGTCTTTGACCTACTGACCTGATTTGTATTGTTTAATGGACTTTTGAGCTTGAATACTGTTCGATATCTCACCACATATTTTACTGACAAGATCACTAGTCCAGTCACTTCATACAGAATTTATAGAATATCTCTGATCACAATGATAATTATACTCTCAGCAGTTTTTTCATCCCCAGATATATAGAGAAAAAAGATTTCTCAAATTACCTTCAAAAAAGAGAAATCAATATTGGAATCCACACTACAACCAAGACTATGTACGTCAAGAAAATTTGCAAGCTCATGAGTTGGCAAAATTTAAATGTACAGTGCTTTCTTTGGTCTGTCTTGACAGTGTGTATGTATATTTTGTGTTTTTTCTTGACACGCAATGTTCTCTTTTCCCAAGACATCCAAGGACATTTAACAGCCTGTCTCTGAGAAAAGCATGCAAAATCTGAAAAATTGTCCTAAAGGGTGTATAGAGCTTTTCATTTTGTCATATATTTTTAAGATCTGGGTTGTATCAGAATATAAAAAATAGATCTTAAAAGTGTGTCACGTGTTTCTATTTTTAGTAACAACCCAGTTTCTATATTTAGCAATAATTGGCATTATATAGAAGGTAAAAATAGGAAAGTTTGAGACCTGATAAAGTTACTGCAAAATTATTTTCAAAACAGTATTTTATTATTTCATCAATACATAGATGTCAAAAATTACAAATACCTATTTTTCATAATGATAACGACTATCTGCCGTCTATACTAAAGCCATATGCAAGGCGAAATTTGGAACTTCAAATAATTATGGATATTTAGGACAGTGGTACAGTGATGGGGGATAAAATAATTTGATAAAATAAAGTTTTTTATAATAATTGATTAATGTTCTATCAAATATAAAAAATTCACCCTTGGCTATTTAGTGCAGATATATTTTATAAATTGTTGAAATGATGACCTAAGCATGTTAGCAAAGCTCTCATTTTGTATCATAGAATTAATCAAATACTATTAATATGGGTTCATTTGATGACCAATCAACATATTTTAGTCTGAATTTATATTTAGAAAGTCTATAAAAATTTAAAAGTTAATAATTTACTTAAAATTACTTAAAAAATGATATAAGAAAATAAGATGACAAGAATGAGTAAGTGTGTATAAGAGTTATCTCCCGTTGTGGAAGTCTTCATGTGAAAAAGGCGGAAATGACATTCCAATGTGTCAGGGTCGCCAAGAGGACAATGCAACTTCGAAGATTTTTGATAATGTCGTGCCTTGTATGTCAAGTATTTTATTTGAATGACTGTATCAAGGATCCATCACACTGTTTGCGCTTCTTTAAATCTCCGACCAACACGCTATAGTATCAAGCTGTATGGAAAACGTTATGGACCGACTGGAGGTTTGAATGTGAAAAGTGGATTTTTTCTCATGACGTCCATATTTAAAGTTTTGAATCTATCCAAGACATACGGATAACTTGGGGGTTAACATGGTTAAAATGGCGAAGAAGAATAACAAATTTCTGCTACCTTGACGTTGACGAGAAACTGCAGGACCTGACCATGTTGACAGGTAGGCCAAATATCTGATCTCTACATCAAGCAATATGAGCTGCATTTTTAAGGATTTTATTTTGCCATAAAAATGATATAACATGTTATAATGTTACATTTGTATTTAAATTAAAATCTTTTTGCTCAGTAAGACTAAAAATAAAATGAAGTATTATTCAAGTGTTTAAAAGACTTCCGTACAAGCAAATTAGAATTATTTAAGAAATCAATAAAAACAACGACAATGCAATCTTTATCTTGCTTCAATCATAGGCTATAAAAAAGTTCTTTCATCGCAATGCGGCAAATATGAACAACAGAAGATTATAAATATTTTTTATCGGTTTTTGAAATACCCCCGGTAGTTAATATAAAAAAAAATTGGACATCGAAGTTGCAGCTCCTTTTGCTGTCAATATCTACAGTGACCTATATAGAATTTATAATAGAAATTTGAATAATGAATGAAAATGTTCTAACTAGGAACAGTCATGTTTATTGTTTGATATGTCATACATATACGAGGGTTGTCCCAAAATTCCGTAGACAAGCGTTGTTTTGTAGGAACCCTATGTCATACATAATCAAACTTGGTATATAGATTAAACCAACACTATCAAATAAATTTATGGACAAATAAGGAGTAACTACACAAATTTTTCCATTTTAAAAGACACATTTCGTTGTCGGGTGTAGGAAGGCGGCGCAATACCCAAAAGTTGCAATTAAAATTTGGTATTTTATATTTAAAATCCTACGGAAAAGTAATTACTACCCTGTATCTTTTGAATGGAAATGAAAATTCTTAATACTGCTTTATTAACTATATTTCCTCAAATTTTGGTAAAAATGCTTTGATAAATGTGAATTTTATAACGATTTATATACATGGGGTTGAAATCCGACTTTTTGAAAAATGGCGGCTGCGTTAGCACAGGCGGCGCACTGGACTATGATCAAGTGTTTAGATCCTGAATTCACTCTTACAGAAATGTACCAGTCATAATTATTTGGTAGACTAGGAAACTTTCTCTCGTCCTTAGTGCTTAAAATGACTAAAACGGTTTCTCTTTGTATATGTAAATAACAGTAACTAAAATAAAAGACAGGGCTAAGAAATGGGCAAGAATTCCATTGTGCAACTCTATGAGAGAAAACAGACGAAAAGCCCGTAGAAATGTAGCGTTTTCAAATTACTATTATTTCATACCTGTACTTGCATATACTTTGTTTACATATTTTAATGTTTGATCATATCATAGTTATTTAGATATTTCACATTTATAACTAAGTTAAGTTAAGTTAAGAATTTGATTCTGGTAATTGAAATATTTTCTCCAAAAATTTGAACCGTTAATTGACATTTGTATTTTTTGACATTGCAGATTGCTCCGGGTGTTAGAGAACGATATCACTTTATATGTTATAACTCAAAAAGTGTTCAAGTAAACATGATCAAACTTCGTAATCTTTCTGCCAAGAACACGCTTTATCTACCCTGAAAATTTTATAAAGATACATTAATTTTTTTAAAAGATATGAGCTCAGTCTACGAAATTTTGGGACAACCCTCGTATATTTGTGTAAAGAAATTAAGAAAGTTCAAACAGTTGTGAGGAGATGCCTGATGGAGTAAAAATCATAACTTCTCTAATTAAAAAAATATTCAACATTCAACTGCACATATGCTTTGATTTGCATACATGTTTAATTTATACTTTTTGAATTGCGGCATTGTGCAAGTAGTGAAATAGTGTGCTACTCAAAACAAGTCTAAACTAAAGAGTATATATATAAAAGTGCCAGGTATTCAAAGAAGGAACTCATTGAAAGGGTTTTTTATCCAAATATTATCACACATATTTTTCTATCATATTTACTTTAACAATTAACATGATTAATGTATTCAAAATGAATACAGATTTTTGCATAATGATATTTTAAAAAAGGTAATGGGTCATGATAATATGAACTCATAACAGAAAGTTTATACAGAACATTTAAGCTTGCACAATAGTCAATAATGAATATATGATACTTAATTAGTATACCATGTGTGGGAGAGGTCCAAATTATTCAAATTGCATAACAAACCTAGGTAAAGTTATAAATAATTTAATATTGATTAACTTTCACTTTTTGTAGCAATATTTGTCAACATGCAGAGGAGTTTTTTTGGACCCCAATACATTAAAAGACAAGTGTCCTGATCCAGATATTAATGGTAAGAATTGTTGTTTGAAAAAAAATATTTCAAAAGTCTTATATGAAAAAAAAACAAGTATATAGTCAAATGCTCTTTAATAGAGCTATTCAGTGTGTTCAGCACAGTTTTGTCATAATGATAAAACCAGTGATTTCTTACTCTGCTGATTTTTGCTATTCTCTTGATCAGCATTAATTTAATTATCTGTAGATCAAGTCTAAGTGTAAATGTGAATGATTTACCCTTAAACTTCAATTTTTTACTTTTTTCCAAATGAAATAATTTTTTTTTTGTAGATCAAAAGTTGACAATTTATTAATGGGATATAAAACAAAATGCTTTCAATCAATCAAAAGTTGACAACTGCTTTAAGAAAAAAAAATTATTTTATAGGATATGAAATTTTGTTAATATTTCATTGTCACATGTTAAAACTTTTAATGAAATATTAGGAGATAACGAACAGTATATTCCAGCTCAAAAGTCCAACAATACAAAATTTGTGTAGAGCAAACAATTGGACCTCCAAAAAATGATAGATGGTATCATGTAATTTTTTTTTCTTTTTTCTTCCTGGGGAATTTATGTCACAATGTCACATCTAGCTTTGGTCAGCTTTTTGACATTCTTCTACAATTTTTAGACAGTATTACTTTCACTTTTTTGTCAGAAAATTTGAAGTAGAAAGTGGTGCACAAAAATACACTTGCACCAGTTTTACCTGCCAGCTTATATCATATTTTTTAATAAAATATATGTTTTTTACATACATGGTATCACAATTTTTTTCAACCTTGATCTCTCCAATGACATTTATTTCATTTTTCAAGATAAATCTTTATAATAAAATTAGATATAATGGTAAAAGCAATTTGACTATGTCCTTTTTTTTTTACCTTGAGTGTTCTAATAAATGTTTCTCTTTTTTCAATTATGAATTTTGTAATTATAAACTTAATATTTTTAAAATCAGTATTGGTGACAGCAATCAGTTTGCCATTATTCTCTTATTATAATGACCTAGATTCACTTTTCCTCCATTTAGCAGTCACTTATGCATGTACAAAAAATTATTCTTTCTGTCTTCATATTTTACTGATATATACTCAAAGAAGGAGGACACATTTCTTTTTATTTCATGGTGAATTTTGTTTTATAGGTATTAAATGCAGTTTTTCCAAGAAAGCAAAACAATGGAGCAGAACTGAAGTGTTATTTCAATAGAACCATGATCTGATTGATCAAGTGAAAGATGATACCAGTTGTGAACGTTGTCGAAACACTACAGCAAGCAAAGAGAGTAGTAATCATCAATACATGTATTACTCCTGTTAATATTCATCAGAGCAAAAAGAATTTTCAATATTGAAATTTGAAAAATATTTAAATTTGCAGTTGAAAAACTCACTGTTTTACAAATTCAATATCAAGTAAGAGCATCACAGCAAAGTGTCCTACAAGGAACAGGCATTGGACGTGGAGTTCAATAAGAGCCTACAGGAAAATGTATTGGTTGGGCTTTAAAATCCAGAAAATGATTCTCCCAGAAAGTGAACAATTACTTGTCTATGATACGTGAAGAATGTTAGAGAGCAGTAATTTGTCCAGATTGTGTTAAGCCACTGTTTTATGGCAGAAGAAGAAAGTAATGAATGAAAATGATAAAATTTTATAAACAAAATAAATGGCTAAGTAGCTGAAAAAAAGGAGGATATATTGTGTCACGTTCATCCAATAAAAAATTCAAGTAATTCCACCTTCCCCCTGTAAAAAGAACTTATCTGAAATATCTCAATGTTTGTATCGATGATGTTGAAAATTTGCAGATATTGTTTCTATACTTACACTGTACATGTAACACTCCAATGAATATGTTGATCAAATGACTAGTATGATGAATAATGTGTTCACTTGGTTCACTTGTGTAAATATTGAGCAATTATGTATATATTCATTAAATGTAAATAAAGGTTTATACTTATTAATAAGTTTATCCATTTAGTGGTTTATTTAAGAAATTACTGTCTAGTTAGACTAGTTAGCATAGTATGCCATGGCATCAACACTAACATGGGATAATTTGCATAACGGGCAAAGCCCGTTATGCGTAAATTATCCTATGTTTCCCACTAGTGTTGATGTCCCTGGCATACTATACTAATTAGACAGTGATTCCATATGTGAAATAAAATTGTAGATTTAGACTTTAAACAAGAGGCCCATGGGCCACATTGCTCACCTGAGCACTAAGGGTAGGAAAAAGAAGAAAATGGCTTTTTATTGTAAAGTTTAAATCTAAAAGTAGTCCCATGACCAATCATGGATTTGCTATTTTTTAGAAAATGATTTTTAAAGAATTTTCCTAAATATTTCTATGTAAAACTTTGGTTGGCCATTTTGGCCCCACCCTACCCCCGAGGGTCATGATTTGAACAAACTTGAATCTACACTACCTGAGGATGTTTCCCCATAAGTTTCATCTTTCCTGGCACAGCGGTTCTTGAGAAGAAGATTTTTAAAATATGCCACCAAATTTTAATTAATTCCCAATTATCTCCCCTTGAATGAGGGCGTGGCCCTTCATTTGAACAAACTTGAATCCCCTTCATCCAAGAATACTTTGTGGCAAGTTTGGTTGAAATTGGCCCAGCGGTTCTTGAGTAGAAGTCGAAAATGTGAAAAGTTTACAGACAGACAGACGGGCAGACAGCTGCCAGATGCCGGACAAAATGTGATCAATAAAGCTCACTTGAGCCTTCGGCTCAGGTGAGCTAAAATGTAGACATAGATTTAAATTATACAAGGACTCCCATGCCAATTTAAACATTCCTCGCCCACTGTTTAAAAAAAAAACAAAGGCAGCCACACGAGATTTACATGCATATTTGGCCTCTTTAGCCCCCTGCCCCCTCCTCTTTTTCTATGTATTTTTTTATTTAAAGTCATTAAGTATTAGATTGAGAGATATGTTTGTTTAAATTCTGTATTACAGATAGGAAGAACTATTGAAATTAACTTTTTTTTAAGTTTTGGACATGTTTTGAGCTATTTTTTGAGTATTTTTAACTGTATCCTTGAATTTTTTATGTGAAAATTTCACAAACTTTGACTTTCAATATTTTCTAAAGTGTACATTGGCCAAGGGCAATTTTTATATATTTTGTTCACATAGGCATTCTTAACAATAAGCAATAAAATTTACTGGATTAAAACATCCCCCCTTTTTACAAGAATAGTTACAATTCCACTAAAAATTGTCACTTTTTCCAAATTTTGGAACAGTGCCAAATTCATGACCTATTTGCACTAAAACAAAATGAATGTCAATCCTTCTGACTATGCATTTAGGAAGAACGAACCTTTATTCTTTTACAACAAAACAGAATATTTGAATAATTTTTAAAGTTGCAATTTTTTTTCTCCTCAAAAATGTCTGAAATGTTAAAAAATTACCTAGTAAAATTTTGTTGCATAAGAGCTATTTTTAGTAACAGGCCATAAAACGTTTGTGGGTTGGATTAGCTCAGTGAAAATTTGTCTGATTTCATTTTATGCATAGTAGATTTGGCTCATAAAATTTGAAGGCAATCGGAGAAACCTGCTTTCGGACTAATTTGCATGCTTTTCTCGGAGACTGGCTGTTAATAGGTATAAAACGTAATAGTAAATACTCTGTCATTGTGATTTGATCAAGAGTGAATTATGAGTTTTCCAATGTGATGTATAGTCGATCATGTAAGGTTTTGATAGTTTCATAAATCTACGGTACTTGGTACCATTTTTTGGTAGAATGTCATTAAGTATGTGCCATTAAAATAAGGAACTGGCCCATTGATATAAATTCCAGTGTAAGTTTTAAAATAATTTATCTCCCATTTATGTGGGTCAAGTATGTCAGTTAAAGACCTTCTTAGAAGATTAATTGCAGGAACTGGTACACATGCAATGTGGCAAGTAATTCCTGCATCATGCACAATTTCAGGTATATCTCTTAATAGATTAAGCTACAGTCAGTGCGGGGGTAATATGACATTTATGGAAATGTCAGGTTTCAAAGCATTTGGGAGGAAAAATAAGTTCTGGTAAATCTGTAAACATTTAAGATTAATAACAGTGCTGTTTTTAGCTCTTCACCACTCATCATTTAGGAAGTCTCCACTGTTTTCAGCTTTTGAGTAGAGATTATTTATAGGAAAGATAAAGTAAAAAATATATTTTAAGAGTATAATCCATCTATATAAAGAAAAGTAAATGAAATTCAAACTGAATTATTAAGCCTTATGGAATCAATGGGTGCGTTCACAGTTCTACCATTAGTACCAACTTTCAATATACCATTGGTACAATAATTTGACAATGGTACCAACTGTACCAATAAACCCTGAACGGGTATTGGCATACAAATGTAACAATTTTACCAATTTTACCAATGGGAGTCCAATGGAGACATTGGTAATACTGAATTACAGATTTCTTTGTCTTCTAAGTTATTAGCACATGCCAGAATCGCAAGAAAATCATAGCAGACTCATATCCGACAAACAAACCACATTAGGATCACACTTCTTTAGTTGCCATATCTATGAGTTTTATATAATCCATTTAATGGATCATGTCTAAATCATACTTCAAAATCATGAATATAAGTGTTTGATATGATTTTTATGTGATTTTGGCATGATTTGTTAAAAAGGCTAAGAGGAAAAATTGTTTAAATCATTGTGAATCCGTGATCCAAGTCCCTATCTTGTTGCCATGTCGATAACTAGCTGTGATGTCATTTACCAACATTAACCACACTCTAGACTGTCTGCAGAAAAATATACCATTGGCAAAAAACATTGGTACCAGTGGCATGCCAATGGTAATTAATTTTACCAACGGCAACTTTTGTCTACCAACGGCAGAACTGTGAACGCACCCAATATTGCATCCTCCTTATTTCTCTGAAGATGTCATTGACATAAAAACTATAAGATAGTGGGAGGAAATGTGCAACCTAGTAATAACCTTTAATTTTTTTTTTTAAATCTACAGGCAGAGAACCTTCAATGTCATTATATTTGCCCATGCACTGGCATGTTAAAAATAGTCAAAAAGCTTTTAACTTTGCATAAATTTCCTATTCAATGTTTGATTTGACATAATGAAAAATTGCTTTTTTGGTATATTTAATTCTTTCAGTAGCAACTTGCTTGCAAGATTTTTATTATGGGCTAGGGTTCCCTTAATTGACGATCACATTATATTTTCCCTCTGTGTAAAACATGTTATACAACAGGGAGCAAATTAATGAGTACCTTTGGGACCATTAATTTAGGGATCAATTTGTAATTGATATATTTTTTTAATTTGTATCATGAATTAGATGATGTTGCTATCCTAAATTAATGTATCTGTAATTTGTATGTTAATGGATCATTTATCGTTAGTGGGTAACAAATGGTTGTTTACTCATACAGTTACATGAGTAATGAATGCAAAGTCATTCGTGAATTTTTTTTTAATTGTAAATGAATGCTATAGGATTTTGGTTCTACCCTTTTAAATAATTCAAGTTATTGGGTTAATGCAGGTCATTATATTATAATAGGAATCCATGTTGGCCCCTTCTCAATTTTGTAATTCTTGTGACTTCTGAATAATCAAATTTTACTGTATATTCAAAAAACAAGATATTTACTGTCATGGCATGCAAAAAATGCAAAACCAGAATTGTAATTTTCTTTTTACAGACAAACCAAGGGCTCCCAAATCAGGCAGTTGTGTGGTGTATAACTGGGAGAGAATGGAGTGTTACTGGGACCTAGTAGTGGAATACAGACAGCTGCACGGAATCACTGATATCAGTGTGGAGTATCTCAATGCTTCACTAGATTATAGCTTGTAAGTTAAAGGGTCAAAGTATCTTACTGAATCGTAGCTTGGAAGTGTAAGTAAGGATCAAAGAAGCTATAAGCATAATTGTAGCTTGTAAATGTCAACTTCTTTATTAAAATATGGGAAATGAGTTTAAAGATCAAAGAATGTTACTGAATCGTAAGGAACAAAGAGGTTTTCTGAATTATAGCTTGTAAGAGTTAGAGTTCATTGAATTGAAGTTTATTAATGTAAGGATTAAAGTAGCTTACTGAATTGTAGCCTATCTGTTAATAAAAGGATCTGTTAATGTAAGGATCAAAGACGGTTACTGAATTGTAGCTTATCTATTAATGTAAAGATCTGTTAATTTAAGGACCAAAGTAGCTTTCTGAATTGCAGCTTATCTCTTAATGTAAATTTTGTTAATTTAAGGATCAAAGTAGCTTACCGAATTGTAGCTTATCTGTTATTGTAAAGATCAAAGTAGCTTACTGAATTGTAACTTATCTGTTAGTGAAAGGATCAAAGTAGCTTTCTGAATTGCAGCTTATCTGTTAATGTAAAGATCTGTTAATTTAAGGATCAAAGTAGCTTACTAAATTGTAGCTTATCTGTTAATGTAAAGATCAGTTAATTTGAGGATCAAAGTAGCTAACTGAATTGTAGCCTATCTGTTAATGTAAAGATCTGTTAATTTAAGGATCAAAGTAGCTTACTGAATTGTAGCTCATCTGTTAATGTATAGATCTGTTAATTTAAGGATCAAAGTAGCTTACTGAATTGTTACTTATCTGTTAATGTAAAGATCAAAGTAGCTTACTGAATTGTAACTTATCTGTTAGTGTAAGGATCAAAGTAGCTTACTGAATTGTAGCTTATCTGTTAATGAAAGGATCTGTTAATGTAAGGATCAGAATAGTTTACTGATTGTAAGCTTTAGGAAACCAAGGAATCAATGTAGCTCAGTGTTCTCTATATACTTGTAAATGTATATTTTTAAATATTTCTAATTTTATTTATTAATGCATTAAAACATCAGTTTTAAAACGTAAAATGTTCATTGCACTTGTACATACAGTAATTAGGGTTTCTACGACTCTAAATGACCGTAATCCCCTGAAATTGAACTTAAAAAAATTTTAGATTAAGTTTCGTCGAGTACAAAGTGGTCATAAATGTTACAACAGAGACACATTTACGGATAAGCCTCCCATCAGACCATGTGGTTTTATTTCTACAAGAGTTAACAATGTTTTACAGAAATCAATTAACTTGTTCATATTTATTAAGACTTTTACCGAGAACCCGGTTACTCGATCGGAAAAAACGTCCGAGTAACCGAGTATTAAAAATTGACTGATTTGACATCCCTAGTAAGCTTGGAAACCAAGGAATCAATGTAGCTCTGTGTTCTCTATATACTTGTAAATGTAAGAATTGAAGTAGTGTATGGCTTTGTAAACTTTTAGGATAAAAGTAGCTTACTGAATTGTGAGCTTGTAAGTGTAAGAATAAAAGTAGCTTACTAAATGGTAAGATTGTAAGTAAAAGGAAGAAAAGTAACTTGCACTTGCAATTGAAAGGATCAAGTAGCTAATTGAATGATACCCTGTAAGTGTTACTTAAGTGGTTTAATTAGCATTGGAGTTTTATCATCAAAGTATGCAGTAAAATTATAGAAAGTGTTTATCTCAAAAAAAGTAATAGAATTGACAAGCTGTTAGTGGGTTCATAACGTACTCAATCTGTGATTAATGGCATACATGTACTTACTACATAATGTTTGTTTTATGTACTAAGTCAAAAGATGGATTTTTGTGTACTTTTCTATTGGTTTTTTGCTCTTATCCATTACAAGCTTTCATACATAACAATGTCTGAGCTGTAACAAATCACAGAGACTTACTGACTGACACTTGATGTACTATTGTTTCTCACTGTTATGACACCCAATATCTCAGCTGGCATCTCGTTATCTCGTTATATTAATTTTTAGAACCACTGAGAAATGGAGTCGCTGTCCTCTGTCAGTAAACGGGACACAAGTTACCTGTGTCATTAAGGAGGAGAAGAATTTCCCGCTCTTCATGGGACACTATTACTTCCGTCTAATCGTCAACAACACCAAGACGCTGCACTCAGCAGTAACCCAGACGGAATTCATGACCAATACCCTCGGTAATTATACCACAATATTGTTTTTTGTAGAATAATGCACTTGCCTGGTTTAGAACAATTTTGGCAGGAAATATATGACATGAAATTGGATGTTTTGAATTATACCTTTTAGTAAGAGATTTTTTTTTAACAGTAGACCTAGATTTTTTTTCTAGAAAGAACCAATATAATTTACTAATTGGAGCATGTTTTTAGTGCATGAATGTTAAGTGTAATTTAGTTGAGTAGGAAATATTGTTATGTTGGATTGACGTTTCTCTGTTGCAGTGAAGCCTGCCAAAGTACAACCAGTTTCTGCCTTAGCCAATAAAACCTCTATTCATTTAAAATGGAGTGTAGAAAAGCCATATCAGCCCCAGTTATTCAGGATTCGCTTTGTAACTACTTCCGATCTCAAGCAAAATCCTCCATGGAAGGTACATGAATTGCACACAGCAGTTTGGCTTTTTTCTTTCAAAAAAAGACATTGCAAAGTTCACAGCATTAATAGTCATAATTAACTTTACCCAATTTCTGAAAGATCAATTAAAAAAGATATGAAAGCTTCAAACTTTTGTAAGTGGTGTCATAATACATGAACCAAGTGGGATGGAGAAAACAAACTCAATTTTTCTCTCTTGCACATTTTAATTTTTTATAAAGTCATGCAACCCCTCCCCCACTCTCCCTTTAAAACCATATATTTACTGTCACCCTTAATCAAACAGATAAATGTTCAGTAGGACGGGTTATAAATTTTACTTGAATGAAATATATATGACATCTGTGCACATGCATGAAAAACCTGTATCACTGCACTTTATATTCCATAAATTCTGAAATGTTTTAGATGATGTGTTAAAATTAAATTCTTTTCTGAGTTTATAATCATTAGAAGTAATATAAATGAATAATCTCTGTTTACAGGAAATTAACACAACTAAAACAGAAGTCATTTTGAGTGACCTGCTACCATACAGAGAATACACTATTTGGATAGCTGCCATTCCATTGGTCAGAAATCTGTCCACAGGATTTTGGTCTGACACAGTGAAGACACAAAACACCACATTACAAGATGGTAGGATTAATAAAACTGCACCTTAACATTTTTACACCCACCCACCCCAAAAATATTTATAGTGAGGCCACAATTAAAAAATTGTTTGCTTGCCCTCTTCCCACCGACTTACTAAACTCAAAACTTTTTTAGACCTTCAGGAAACAATTATTTTTTCTTTCACTTATTTAGATGTTTTTGCATCTCATTAAAAACTATTCTAACATCATCTTTTCAAATGTTTTTTAATAATAATAATAAAAAATTCCCCTACCTACCAACCCTATACTGTATTCATTAAAACTCGTTTATTACAAACATGGATATAGAAAATTCACAGATATAGCAAAGTTTTTCTGGTTCCCTAGAAAAATTCTTAACAAATCTTTGTAAAATTTTACGGTTTTAACGAACTTTGATATAAATAATTTATGGATATAGTGATCTGATTTTGAGTCCCATTGAGGTAAAATATAATGAAATTTACATCTTCTATAACGAAGTTTCAAAGATCTCAAAATTTGCTAAATTGAACTGAATTACTTTCTTCTAGCATTTGTATATAAAATTCAATTCGTAATAAAACCTTATAGTTATTGAAGGTATGTTTTGTAGTATTTGCTTCCCTAACATATTTGGTAGTAAAACTTGAAGGAAAACATTCATATTGCGAATTCGCTATATATGGTTATACGAATTCGTTATACGGATATAACGAATTATATAGCGAATTTAATTTGCAGGTCCCCAGGGCTTTGCTAAAACCGAGTTTCACTGTACAGGGTAATTCTTGCCCCATGTTACTGTAAACCAATTTTTATTCGTGTGCGCTAAATATTCGTGAGTTGCGCGACCTACTTAAATTGTGAATATTAATTGCCACGAACCATTTATTTTGCTAAGCATACTTTTATAGAGAATGTTTCCTCAGTTGCTGAAATTAATTGTCACAGATTGATTTCTAATTGATGAATCGTGAATAAAAGGTGACGTGAATAATAGTTGGTTTACAGTATTTTCGCACTTTCACATTTGCAAACTATTTTGCCTTGTTTTAATTTTGCCCAGTCACAAATTTGTCAAGGGTGAAAGGGACGAAAATAAAAGGGGGACAAAAATTTCCCTGCATACAGTATCTAACATTTTTGGAAAAGATGGCATAATTCCTACTCCTACAAGTAAGAGCCGCGGCTAACGTCCCTACGCTCCTTATATACCTCGGCGCCAAGTCAAAAGTACCTCGCCGTGAACCTTTAGCATGCTGGAGTAGCCTAAGTCTCATCTCTACTTCCCTATTTCCCCCTCAATTTCTCAAAAAATGACCACTGTCCTTTTTCTCATCATGTTTTGTGTTCTTCAGTACCCAGTGATGTACCAAAAGTGAATCCAGGATTTTATGCTTGTGTTGATGCCAACTGCTCAGCTGTGATGATCTTTTGGAAAGTAAGTCTCTTTAAAAAATGTCTTTAATCTTTTAGGTTGATATTTTATCATAAACTAAACCAGTGATTACAACACCTGAATACAACATGATATGTAGATGAATTTCACTGATAATATTCTTTTAGCCAATAGATGATGAGGATAAAAATGGCATCATAACAAAGTACAGGATAATAACAGAGATAAATGGAACACAAAGCCAAAAACAGGAAGTAGAAAATCCCTCAGCGATTGGGTATAAGGTCCCAGTGGACAGACGATTTGACACAAAGATCAAAGTGAATGTAGCTACAGAAGTAGGCTATGCCGCTAAAAGTGACTCGTCTGTTATTATCCCTCCTTTTCATAATCGTAAGTACAATACAAGTAACAGCTTTTTAAAAAGCTTGTCTGGCAATAAATATCTGCATGAGTGATAAACCTTTTGAAATACTTTTGATTTAAAATATGTCTTACTTTATATTTTGAAAACCTTGTGTTAATGAAATCCTTGATTTTATTTTAACTGTTACAGAAAAATAATCTCTACACTGCATACTAAATATTTTGGGCTTGCAAGTGGAGTGTTCTGCCCTTGGATGTAAATTGAAAGTTACACTGTACATTACAATTATTACATGTATATATAATATCAAAATATCTGTAATGAATTCAAATTGTGAAATTTAAAAGATGTATATAATTAAAAATACACATTTTGTCAGAGTGTACATGTATTTATTCCACTGAAGTAAACAGTAATAATGTGTTTATTCATTTTTTCTCTTAAAAAGGAAGGGGGGTTGTACCACTATAATGCATATATTGAGAATGAAATAAGAAAATTCAATATTTAGGCCTTTGTGGAAAGTAAAAAAGGTTTTGAAGTGTGCATCTGAAAGTTAAAATGTTCAATCACCTTTTTGAACTGTGTTGTGTATTATGGACTAGTCCAACAATTGTTAATTTTTTAGTGTTGCTTGTTCATATACTGATAATATACAAAATAAACTTTATTTAATTCCATAAAAGTTAGCACACCCATTCACACAATAGAACGATCCAAGGAAACGTCACGAGCTTACTAACTGACATATGGCGCAAAAAGAGCGATTCACCCCTTTCGTAGAATATAAATGGACTGATCCAGTATTCTAGAAATGCAGAAAAAAGGACACACGGACATGTTGAAATGGTGAATCACATGAAATAATTGTTCCATGCAAAAAGATTAAGGAAATAAACACTTAAGTATTTTGCATCAGTAATATTGTTTCTTTTAAAATGCAGGTAAAGATTTCCAATGTAAATCAGCTTACACAAAATCTAGCTCTCTAGGATGCAAATATCAAGAGCTATATATGGTTAATGTTGGGCTTACTAAGTTACCTGGTCCAAAAGATCAAGTTGGCTTCTTCTGATTACATTTTTCATCTGTATAACTGTTGGTCCATCTGTAAACTTTACTACCGGTACATATTTTGGGCTTCAGAACCACGAGATCAATTTGCAAAATATCCTGGGAAAAAAGGGAATTCAAATTTGATCAAAGAAAGGGACAAGCCCAGTTTTAAAGGGAGATAACTAAAAAAAAGTAATAAAATGGCATCTTTTAAAAAATTTACTGTCAAGAACATGGGACTAAAAAAGGTGAAGCTTATAGTTAAAATTCAATCACCTTTTAGATTCTTTTTCTCAAGGTTTAAAATTTTAACTGATTTTAGATTTAAATCATAACAATTGTTAATTTTTTAGGTCCCTCTTATCCAGAAAATATTGTTGTATATTTTTCCACCTTGTTAAAGATGTATCATCACCCAAAATTCCAGAGTGACAAAAAAATTATGTATGTTCTACCCTGGATGTTTCCCATACCATCACAATTTTTGGCTTTTTTTGTTAGATAGCAAAAATAGCATTATTTCTCATGTCATTTACAGCTAGTGAGTGCTTATACATGTGAAAAATATATTGGAAATATTTCTAAAATAATCTCTTCTACAAAATCAATATCAATTAAACATATCTGCATGTCATTCTAAAATCTTGATTTTTAGGGGGCCAAAATTGGCCACTATCACATATACTCCTTTATTTTATTAAAAGGGAAAGTAATCTTATTTAGAAATTTGGAAAATGGTTGGGGTCACCTAGATAGTGGTGTCTTTTACTTGATAAAAACTTGAATCAAAAAATTGATTCAGGGAATTCTATATGATTCATCATCCCGAGTTCAATATTAAATTAGTTTATGATTATTGTTAATTTACTAATTAGGGGGCTTATTTTAAAAACTGTTAAAGAGGTTTTTTTTCTCTAGTAGAACACAGTAACTTAGTTCCATAGGGATTTTGTTTTACCTATTTACTGAATGTTGTGTAGAAAACCAAGTTTGAAGTTTTTTTCCCATCCCATATTTTCAGTTTCAGCATGATTTTTTTTTTTGTTCTGCATGTAAAAAAGTAACCAGTAACCACTTCTGGGGCATTGTGAATTTTTTTGCAGTTTGACAGAAAAACTGTAGGATATGAGGTAATTTGTTTAACAACTCTTGGTAGCAGTTTTTTTTCAAATTTTATACATTCTGAATAATACAACTTAACTCCAATCTTCTACAGATTGCAGTGTTCTGCGTTCTTTAACAAAGGTGCATGCCTTTTTCGTTGATACAAGGACTGGGACCTTAGACTCTTTATGGAGGAATTCAAATGATTCTTTGTTCCATGTTCCTCATATTTTATTTATTTCTCTTATGTTTTAAGCTATGAATTTTGTGTATCTTTTAATGCCTCACAGTGTTCTTTCATAGCTTGGAAAAATTAAGAATTTCATTTCTTTTGGTTGCACGTTTTCTTTTTTCTTTTTTCTTTTTTTTTTTTGGTGAATAGGAAAAAGATTTGGGCTTGTAGAATGCATTCATCACTTACAAATCTTATACATGTATATAGTACTTGAAATTTTATTGCATTTGATGCATTCACATGTAATGCATACACTAATTACAAATGTTATTGCATAGTACAGTACTTACAATTGCTTGTCCTTTGAATTCTATAACACAAAATATAAAATATTTTTCAGTTGAAATTTCAGTTTTTTTTCACAAAAAAGTGTTGCTCAGCAATTACTGTAGACCAAGTTTTATTTGCGATGTGAGTTCCCAGACTTAAACTTGTGAATATTTATTGCTTCAAACCATGTTATATGCCTTGTATTAATAGAGAATGTTTCTTCAATTGCAAAAATTAATCATCATGAATTGATTTCAAACTGAGAAATCGCTAAAAATACATGGAGATGACATTAATGAAAGTTGGTTTACAGAAGCTAAATGAAGTCATTGCTTTTATCCCCCCCCCCCCTGCACCCCCACCCACTCCAATTTCCTATATATATTCTTTAGTTTAGAGTTTGGCTTTCATGGTAACAGCTTTCCACTATACTGCCTTCTTTTAGTAGAACTTCTTCAGACATCTTTGGGAAATTTCATAGCCTGTCATATGGTGTAACATTTTATTACTGTGAGTGTCCTTTGTACTTGAACATCTTTTTCTTCTGATTGTTCAATAAAGTAGTTTGAAGTCTGTCTGTCTGTTTGTGGTGTCGGCTTTCCTTCTTCAATGACAAATGTGAGATATACTGTACATTGTTACAATTTATCATATTATTATGACAAATCACCAAAATTGTTTGTTTAGGATGTGAGATGTGTCAATATTTCAACATAACCACAATTGCTTGGACTTTTTTTCTACATGTCTCCCTTTCCTATCTGATTATATCTCATTCATCCATTTATAGACACAACTTTTTACCTCATGTCAACTAAAATGTTCAAGATAGCTTTTCTGATAGAAAACATGTCAAGAAGTCTCTCTGTCTGTCTGTAATCATATGTATTACTTGTATTTGATTTTGGAGTTCTGGAGTTACAAGACTATAGCTACCTCTTCTCATGACATTTTACTTCTGCATGATGATAGCTTTGTGGTCATAATATAAGAGTGCTGTAAAACTATATATTATTATTTTTTGTAGCAAATTTGTATACACTGTACAGTATTTCTCATCTTGCAGGGAGAAATAAATACTGAGATAATCCGTGTGGAGAAAGGACAAAGAGACTATCAGAAAGAGTTGCAAGTTACCGACTCCTTTGAGAAGTTTGCTTTTGGTATTTCAGTGGACGCTTATATGATTAAGACGGGTCGCTTCATCAGCAGTGGAATTAAGTGGAGTCAGTGTGCTTACGCAGTGGATGCTGGTAGGTTTTACTGTTAATAAAACAGGCTCTACATGTATAAACAATCCCCTTACTCACTACAGTCAAACCTTGTTATTTTGAACTCAAAAGGATAGGGGGAAAACTAAGGTATCCAGAGAGTATCCAGAGTAAAAAAAAAAGCTAAAATACTTGAAAAATAAGGGATAAGGACTAAAGTCTTCCAAATCACTTTGATATATCCGTGGTATTTGAGATGTCATTGTTTAAGATATGGTATAGATAAAAGTTTAATGGTAACTTCATTTTAGTTTTATGCAGTTAGGGTGATATGTTCTGAGGTGTAATGTAGATAGATTGGAACTTCACAGTGAATGGCCATAGTAGAAAAATATTTTTATCCAAGTCCAAGAAAGAATTTTTTTTATTAATTTCTATAGCCTCTCATTTGATTTCCATTCCCTTTTTTACATACATACAAAAAACACTTTTACCACAGTGGTTGTAAAAATTTCAGTGGTAAAAACTGATTTTTTTCACAGTGCCTACGGAACCAGTGGACATAGATCCAGTGTTAAGTGATGAATCCAGCAACAATACGATGTTGTTTACATGGAGTGGCTACAGCTGTAGGACTCACAGAGTGGGGCCTGTCCAAAACTTCACTGTGGCAGTCTGTGCTATAGACAGCAATGAAAAATGTGAAGGTCAGAAAATGAGTTTGTTTCATTTAAATTTGACATTACACAAGATTTCTGAATAAACAGTATCTGGATTAATCAAGTTATACTGTATTTGTAAATTTATTGAGAATTTCAAACCTAACATTGATTATGTTTAATAGTTTTGATTGGTTGTTAACAGGGACACCAATGACTATTGTTCTGAGTGGAAACACAACCTCCTACAGAGTGACAAACCTGATTGGTGGGGAACTGTACAAAATAACAGTGACTGCTGCATTTAAGGGAGGCAACTCACCCACAGCACAGTTCAAGTTCAAATCTACAGCATCACCTGTATTAAATTCTCCAAATACAGGTATTCATCTCTTTCTTTATTAAAAAATACATTTAAATGAAGATATGTTATGATTGCAAACACAATATTGTATTAAAATTATCTTGAGACAGAGAAGATAATTTTTTTCTGAGCATTTTAGATATTCATATTGTAATGCCAAAACTTTAATCTTTCACAGATATATATTTAGAATACTTCTGAGTTGTAGTCTTTAAAAAATTAACATGCATGGGATTTATTATTCAAAGATATTTAATTTGATTTAATCTTTTCATGCATTCTTATATATAGGTTTATGTGTATCAAGTAACATGTAGATTAAATTGTTCCAAGAATACTCTGTGTATTTATTTTAATTATAGCTAATTTTATAAGATTTATATTTTTGGCACCTTTGGCACAATCCCTTGTTTGCTAATTCATGCAGATTATCAAAATATGAAATTGATAATTGCATATTGTTTTATTCTTAAACTTTTAGATGTCAGTCATATATTCTTCCTACATAAAATGAAACGATTTTAAATGACCAAATTTTCATTCAATCTGCATGATTCATGGTAGCAAAGACTGGTATATTATCCTCACGCAGCAAATATGAATTTTTAAGATTGAATGCTGTACTATATTATTCAAGTTTCCTGTTTGGGGGAATTGTGGGTATAAATGTGAAACTAATCACTGTCTGCTTTTGGATAAATGCTAGCTTTGCTATCTGCTATGATGATTGTGCTTTTAGGTGGTGCCGAGGGTGGCGCTCCGTGGGGAATCATTGCGGGGATAGTGGCCGCTGTCATTGCTGTGGTTATAATCATTATTGTTGCATGGAAAATAAGGTAGGTTTTCAATGAAATAATGCTTTCTGTGATATTTTAAGTTGTCTCATGGGTGACCATCTATGTAACTATTGTTGTTTATCTGATGGAGAAATATCAAAGGTTAGAATGAATTCTTTGAGAATTGGTTTGTAGTAATTTTTATGCCTCATACACATTAATATTGTCATATGGGTTAATTTAATTATTTTTCTATTAAAGTTCCAAGGGGAGAAAACTAATTTATATACACTGTACATGCATGTATAAAATGTCAGTCTTTGTTGATGTTCTGTTTGTATCTGGTTTATTGTAATGTGATGCTTCTTACAAACAAATGATGTGTTCTAGGTTTAAGTCTAACTTGTTCTTTAAGGCATTTTGTAAATTTATTAATGACACTGCATTCATGAACCAGAAATTTAATGAAAGATATGTGATAGGATTTGAGATGATGGAATTTGGAGGTTTTTCTATGTGTTGCATGGAAATATTAGCTTTCCTGTTGCTTGTTGAGCTATTTGGTCCAATGCTTATAAAAAAATATATAATTCTTATCAAAAACTTCTGTGTTTAGCATTGGGGATCCAGAGGGGAAATATCACAATGGCAGAAAGTTTAGAATATGTCTCTTGTTGTGTGTATTTCAGAGGCGCTGTTCACTTGATCAAATATACAAAAGCTGCCGAAGCACATGGTTCCTTAGTAAGTTAACTGGCAACAAAAGCTGGGGGTCACAGGTATTCTTTGCATGTCAAAGAGAGGCTTGTCCAATCTTGTTTCGTCTTTATCAACAGTTATCTGTTTGTTCTTTATTGTTTTAGTCTTGGTAATGGGTTCCTTGTTACATACCTGTAAAAAATTTGTCATTAGATAGACTCCTAGTTTGTATACCAGTAAGCAGTTGTGTAACTTTTTTATTTGTTACTAAAGAGATTTTTTTCAAAGAAAATGCTATATCCATGTCGGAAATTGTCCGTATAAGAATGGAAAACAACGTTGGTGAATGTATTGCATGATATACCTGTATGTGGTGTGGGGTGATTTGAACTCTTGAATGATGGATAAAATTGAAAAAAAGTTTTAAAAAGGTTTTGCATGACAAATAAGTGTGCTTCAAGGCCCTTGGGCCTCTTTAAATAAAATTGAGTACCGGTAAACAATCATAATTATGTAAACTTCTCTTTGAATAATTCAATACTGCAGCAGTAAGATGGGGTGATTTTACTTTAAGTGTTAAATGTATAAATGCAGAATTTTTAGTCAGTGAAAGTCTCTGTTATCTTGTATATAATTTTAAAAAATAAAAATGACAATTAACATTATTGCATAACAGATTCTAGAATTATTGACCATGATTTCCTCCATTTCCAGGCGTTGTTTAAAAACACCTGATGTAGAAATTGAAGTGCCTACCGTAAGTTTCTTTCCCTTTATAATTTGTAATTCAATCAAGATTTGACATTATACACCTTACTTAATGCCTTTCCTTTGAAAAATAATTTTCCATTTGAAAAGAAAATGTAATTCATTTTATTTTATTGGTATTACATATATATATATTTCTTTATTTTTCTACAGACAATTATAATCTGAAACCTATCATAGAGAGAATACATTTTGAAAGACAATTAATTTGAAACCTAATTGTAGATAAAAACCAATGGAGAGATATCTAGACTCCCAGAGTCTGCGGTTACTGAACATGTGCCTTTGCTTCATTCTTCCGCGAACGAGTCATCGACACCTCGAACCGTTCCAAATGGAACAGCGATACCCGCCCAGATGCACGATAATTCTTACTACGAGTCCAGTGAGAATTCCTCCAAATACTATGACCAGAAACACAGTGATAATAACACTGAGCATTTATACATCCAGAGTGATTCTGGATTACTTGAAAGTCAGAAATCCAGGTCACCTGGAACTTCACAAACTGCAGAGGAAAGTAATTGTCCCCCTTATGTGGGTCAAGGGTCGTCTTACATCGACCACCAGGTGGCTCTGGGACTACAACCTATTCAGCCCTCTGAGAGTGGTCTAGGTTCATCTGCTTATTGCCATTCCGGAGAAATTGACTCGTACACAAAAGCCGGTGACATTATTTGTTCTGTGAATCCGACGGATAACACTTCCATGTATATTCCGGGTGGTGCATCCGGACAGGATCAGAGTAACACATCATCAAACAGTTTTGATGAATTTGGCTATTGTAAGAATTGATTGTTCATAGATCTGTGTTAATTAAGGTACCATGTGATTGGGTTTTTTTTATACATGTATGTAAAAATTTCAGAAAAAGGCAAAGGCATTCCACTTTGATCTGTCCAGGATTACTTCTTCTCAGGGTTTTCAGCAGATTTGTTGTTTTTTTATATGTAAATAAAAATGATAATCAGTCATATACATGATATAAGAGTTAACCATTTAGAATAATATATATCCTAGAAAATGCAGAATTTAAGAGGTCAGATTTCATTTTATTTAGTAAGACTTACTCATTTTGAAAGAAAAAACAGATTCGAGTTCAGTGTTCGTTTCTTTCAGTTTAAATTCCACATACATAAACTTCATTGTTAATTTTTAATGTAAAATTGCCATTCACCCTTGTACAGCGTAGTGGTTTTTTTAAATCATGAATATTTCTTGTCACAAGTTGTTAATTTTATTGTATGTACGGGGTATGTAAGTAATAAATTTTCTCATTCACCAGAAATTAGTTGCACTGATTGATTTAAAAGGGATGATTCATTAAGTTTTTGTGGATAATTGTTTGATTACAGTACGAACCACTGGATACTGTATTGCTTATGAACTCTACCTGTATAAGTGCTGTACATATAGATTCCTAGATAAATTAATTATGGCATAATTTGTAAGAAGCATAGCTCATGAATTAGCTAACATTTATTTTTATGATGCTGAAATCCATGTAAAATATCTTTGTAAACCGTCCACTTACGATTTACTCTTCTTACTGATGTGAAAGAGCCATATTTCGCAGCAAAAAAAAAAAAAAAGGGAATCTACAGTACCAATAATTGGTTTTGCTTACTTACCTTGAAAACTAGTATTTTTATCATTAGGAGATGCTTTTTTATGATCTGTTAACTATTTTTTGAGCTTATAAGCTTACTTATCTTTTACCGTTACATTATGTTTGTGTTATTGATTTAAAAAATTCTAGTTGTGCCATAAAATTACCAGAATATAGTTATACATGTATCTTTTCATATACACTTGCCAAAGATAAAAAAATAAACAACCAGTATTTTCTTTTTTAGAACATTTTGTATATATAGTCTGAGTTTAGAATTCACAAGGCCTTGTACCAATAACTTAACAGATTTGAAAAGTGCTACATATCAGATGTCTTTTTGATTTTTTTTTTTTGCAGTCATATATAAAAAAGCAATTATAAATTATGTATAAACTTATGCTTAGTACTTTTTTTTTCTACAATAGTTCCTAGGTAGAAGACACCAAATTGGGGGGGACTACACACACCTGTCTTTGTTAGCAGATTGAACACTTCAAAGTTTCTTGATACAGGTAGATTGGTTTGGTTGTGATGGTTTCACATGGATGTGTACCAATGTGTTCTGTTGCTTTTGCTATTATTGCTCAGGTGTAGTCTTTATTGTTATTATGTTTACCCTTGTTATACTATATATGGCTGCAATTAGGGTACCAAGTTTTGAAAAATGCATAGGAATTTTTACAGAAGGAACATTTCAATAATATTTATGAAAATAGCAATGAGATTTTATAGTGAGTATGTACTTTGGAATTTAAACACTGTAATCTTTTAAATCAGGTTGTGTTTGAATACATGTATATTAATAAATTTAAATGATTAACATGCACTGTATGTTTTGTTTAGTTTTTTCAATATCCTTATTGGATAATACATAATTGTAGGGATGGGCATTGCCAAAAATTTCGTATCGCGATATATCACTATTTTTTCCCCAAATACGAGGGCCGTTCAAAAATTACGCGGACTGTGCTATTATTTACTCTTACAGACGTCATAGAGTTATGAAATTTCACAGAAATATGTATCTCAAAGATTCCAATAAATTTTGGGCAAAATTCCTGTATTTTAAAAACATTCTACTAAAATTATCGGTATATTGATATCGCTAATGGAGAGGTACGGAGCACGACAAACAATCTGAAGCAAAAGCATTTGGAATTCAAAATTTAACTCATTTATTTTCTATAATTCGCAATATTTTTCGACAATTTTCTCAAATGTATCTTTAAATTGTTCTATTATTGTGTATTTGGATTTCTGGCGTGATATTTGAAGTACTAACAGAAATAAAGTGATTTTCCTCTGATGCGATTCCCGTGAAAACGACTGTGAAAATGACGTCTCGTGTAATGACGGCGCACCACACTTTAGTTAAATTATGTGTAATGCTCGAGATATCGTCAACATAGATCCAAAATATGAATAATAAAACATGAATTAAACTAGGGTATTCGTGACATTCGTCCACAATAGCAAATAGGAATTTTAGACCATTAGACCTCTGAAAAATGGCTATACGGGAGGACGGGAAGAACATAATCGACGAAAACTTGATCCGGACTGTAAAGAACGTGACTGAGAGTCACCAATATCACACTATATTTCATAATACCTGCAGTTTTTCGGTTTTAAAACAAAAAAGAATATTCTTTACTTGTTTAATAGATTTAAAGCTTGCCAAGAAATGTTGTTTGGATGTTGAGTAGATAAGATAACTCAAACTGTACAGGTACTCTTGGGAAAATGTTGAGAAAATGAAAGCTCAATCACATATTTTTTTATGATGTCTGTGACGTCGAAGATATTGCTGCTCCGTGACTTAATGATATGTCCTGAAGAATCACTATAAATTGATACCAATTAACAACATTTTGATATGAAATTTTGTAAACCATATAAGTAAAGATTTTTTTATATTATGTGCGACATTTTGCCCGATTATGTCGTCAAATATTTTTTCTGTGCAGCAAGTCCGCGTAATTTTTGAACGGCCCTCGTATTACGATAATATAATGATATTTTTGCAATAAAATATTTAAAATATGTTCCTTAAAAACATTAATTTAACTTTATCCCACTATATTATTTTTCTCATATAGTTCAAGCTCTCTGATTGGCTCAAACTTGATCACATGACCAATTATATAAGAGCATATAGACTAGAGTTCCTATTTATAGATTCTCGAATGCATATCAACTTAATGCTTTTAAAAATGGTTAATTTTCTGTAAAACAACATTTGTGCTGAATTCAAAACAGCCAAGTATGACTTGATTCTTCTAAAAAAAAAAATTATACTCCAACTCCTATTTTTTATACTGAATTGTGATGTTCTGTAATGATAAGTGAGACATAACGATGCCTTGAAGAAGAATCTATTTTATATTAAAACATAATATATTTTTCAAAAAATAATACAAAACTTAATTAGACAAATTAACCTTTTAAAAAAGTAAATCCCCTACATTACTTCAACAGTACAAAAAATAACACACATGCATTACAGATTTTTTTTTTTATCCTCTAGTCTCTCAGTGTTAAAAAAGGAGAGAAAACTTTTGATTGGTTTTATCAATCTCTGTAAAAAAAAATAATATAACAAATGTAGCCCTTTAATTCGGTCAATCCATAGATATATCGACTTCACAGAAAAGCATATCGACCGAGCACGAAGTGCGAGGTCGATATGCATTTCTGTGAAGTCGATATATATATGGATTGGTCTCATCAAAGGGCTATTATATAATATATAATTATAAATCATCGTATTGAAATAAAAAAATTACTCCATAACGTTCAACAGTAATTAAAAGTAGATCACTAATAAACAAGAACGTATTTAGCGTATGGTTGATTTTGATAAGTTTTGATATAAGTGTAAGGAAAGGTAACTCCATTTGGAGTTAATGTAAAACTTGGATCCCCCCATTGTGGCCCCACCCTATCCCTAAGTGGTTATGATTTGAACAAACAAGAAACTACTGTATCTGAAGATGCTTCCATAAAAATATCACTAATCATGGCTTTGCAGAAAATTTTTAAAGATTTCCCTTTATATTCTTATGTAAAACTTTGATCAGACATTGTGGCCCCACCCTATCCCCGGGGTTCATGATTTGAACAATCTTGAATGTACACTATCTGAGAATGATTTAACATGAATTTCATCTTTCCTGTCCCAATGGTTCTTGAAGGGAAGATTTTTAATGATTTTTCCTATATATTCCTATGTGAAACTTTGATCGGCCTTTGTGGCCCCACCCTTGCCACGGGGGTCATGACTTGAACAAACTTAAATCTACACTACCTGAGAATGATTTAAGATGAGTTTCATCTTTCCTGGCCCAGTGGTTCTTGACAAGAAGATTTTGTAAAAATTCCACCAAAATTTCACTAATTCATAATTATCTCCCCTTGGAAGAGGATATGGCCCTTCATTTGCAAAAACTTGAATTCCCTTTACCCAAGGATACTTTGTAGCAAGTTTGGTTGAAATTGGCCCAGTGCTTCTTAAGAAGATGAAAATGTAAAAAGTTTACAACAATGCAACAACTATGACGACGACAATGACGACAGACAACGGACAAAGGATGTATTCGCTTTAACAAAAGAATTGACCTATAGGAGAGAACAATTTCCCGGAAAAGGTGACATTTAAAAGTCAATCTTTATTTGTTGTTTTCTACCGTATATATGTCTAAATTTTTTAAATTTGTATTTTATACCTAAAATTTATTATTCACAACTTTACAATAATCCTCCAAAGTTGATCGAAACACCATTTTGTCCTTTAAAGCGTTGATATTTGCATGAATTTTGGCCTTGAAGTCCATCAGGGCAGGCCTGCCCCTATATAAAAGTATGATACTTTGATAGGTTAGGATGTAAGGCATGATTTAAGATAAGATTTTTTTAGGGGCACCCCTGCCCTGGGGTCGAAATTCACAAAAAACTACAAAAAATAAGGAAACCAGATTTTCAAAATCTTCTCTAAATTTATGCCATTCATTTTCATAGTCAGACTAGCTCAGTTGATATATGCGCTGACTTTTTACACCTTGGATGCTCCCTTTTTTAAAGTCGGGGGTTCGAATCCACCTGGTACAACACTTTTACAGTTTTAAATTTCGCCTTTTCAAAGACTATTTTAATTTTTTTAATAGACTTGTGTATTTTTCCTTCAATTGTCTATCCCTTACGTATTCCCATTCTTGATATAAGAGACACTAAAGAGATATCAAATCGTAACAATCCAATGTACAGTTGTCAGTCAGGTGGAACGAACCTCAGTATAAGCACACTTTCTCCGAGGACAAGAATAACTCACTATGTGTTACTCAATACAGGTATTCTTGGCAGCATTGAGCTGCGATGAATTTCAATTGTATATATCTCTTAGAATTTAATCACATTGATTTTGGCTACATATTTCAGTAAATGCACTCACTTGGATTTCATGTAGGCCTTTATAATTTGCACACATTAAAGACAAGTTTTTATTATATCCACGGATAAATAGCTTAGACATTAAGAATAGAATTTCAGAGACAGTAGACATTTTATGCACAATGAGAAGTAAAAACAAATATCAATTATTACATTTGGAGATAACAAACTCAGAAAATCAATAAAAAGGGTTCCTCCTATCTCTACTCACTGAAATAAAGATTTAGGAAAAACAAATTGTTATATGTATTCAGCCTAATGTCATTAATCAGAACGGAAATCGACAAGCTTTTTGTAGAGAATAAAACCAAGCCCGGTCCTATAGGTCAGATCCCTATTTATAATGAAGTGATCCTTTGATCAGAAAAGCTCACTTGAGCCTTCGGCTCAGGTGAGCTAAAAATGTTAGACTTTTTTCATATAGATTTGTATGGTAACAAATTTTTAAAGGTATAACAAATTAAGTTGCATATGAAAATAATGATTTTGCATTCATAAGATAATTGATGCATTGTACATACCGTATGAACTGATATTTTACAATGATTTTTAACAGTTTGATCATTAAATTAGCACTCCATAGTACGCACATTCAGCAATGCATTGTACATGTACATATAAACACCAAAACTTCTCCTCTGCTTTTAAGGGCTTGGAACCTTCTGCTTGAAATAACATATCCCATGGAATTGAGATGTTAATTCAAGCAGGCAGCATTAAAAGTTTTGTGCCTTTTTTCAGTTATTTTCTTTCTCTCTCATTTTTTTTCTGTTGTTTTTTTTTCTCTTTTTTTTTCACATATATATTTTTTTTTCTTTTTTTTTTTTTTGGTGTTGTTTTTTTCTTTCTTTCTTTTTTTTGGGTTTTGTTTTTTTTCATTTTTTTTTGCTTGTTTTTTTTTCTTTCATTCTTTTTTCTTTTTGTTTTTTGTTTTTTTTTTGCACAAAACTTGCCAATGAGATTAAAACAATTTCACATTTACAATTCAACATTCCACACTAAAATTCACAATTTCACATCAACAATTCACAACTGCATTAAAATATCACAATTTAACATTTTTAGAGGCAAATCTCTATATTACACTTTCAAATACAATATTACAATGTTACAATGTTACATATATTTCTTTCTGAATATTTAGTCACATCAGAATATTGACTTATTGAGGGATTCAATTTCACAATAAACTATAATAACGAAAAGGTGACTATACAAATTATTCTTTCTACAACAGCTGACAGAATTTACACATTCTATGAATACTCAATCATTACATCTGAAACATATTTAACTTCATCAAAACAATTACAATAATGAATCATTATCTCATTGGCATAATAATAAAAAGATAATTTAAAAGACAAAGCAGCCTCCAAC